TATATATACATTTATTAAACATAAAAATGATATCAAGGCAACTTGGAAGACCATCAACTTGTTGATCAACAAAAAAAAAATAATCGGCAATCTAATACTTCCCTAAATTGTGATGGGATAATGACCACTGATCCCAATAAAATTTCTAATGCATTTAACAAATACTTTGTCAAAATTGGACCTTCACTTGCTAACAAAATTCCCCATGTCAATAAATCATTTAAAGACTCCAAAATGAGAATTGCTGTCTTCAAAAGTCACAAATTGGCACGTTACGTATTAAAGATACATTTATTTTTTAAACTTAACTGTAAAAGGTGAAAAAAAGAAGATCGTACTAGAAATTAAAAATTTGCTTACGCGTTTTTCACGTACGTGTAGTAAGCGAGATATGCGTGTCGTCCAAACGGTTTGCAGATAGCAACCGGAGTATGGCGTCAAATGATGACGTTGACGTCATAAATGATGACGTATACGTCATTTCGCATGCCCTCCCTAATGTTGATCATTAATTGAACAACCCTTAAGTACATGGGCTCTAATAGCATCAGCCCATGGGAGATATTATAAAACAAAAAAAGTCCATGTCAATGACCCTATGTCAAAACAGATGATTATTGTAATTGGCTGAAACCACAAAATCAACTTCATTGAAATGTTAAGCCATTGGATGTTTAAGAGGAAGCTCGTCACTGCCTAGAGGTGATGCCGAGTTACAAGAACGGTCTTGTCTGCGATACATTGATCTCAAAGTTAAGTTATTTTCTTAATTAATTGAGGTTGACGCAGTGGGTTTACACTCCAGCAAATACCACAAGGACCGCTTTGACATTATTAATGTCAAGAGAACAAGAGATCTCCAGCTTACCCACATGTCATTTAATATTGATACGCCTTTCCGCTTTTTACAAGATTTCTCTTCTGCCGTCTTTGAGATGCAAAATATTATTGGAAACTTCATCATGCTTATAATTATTCAGGGAACGTGATGAAATAATTTTATATCATGGAGATATATATTATTTCCAAGAATAGTTTTGCGGCCTATATAATGTTTATTTATGATTTATCGAAATTATAAATTGTATTATATCGAACGAATTTTGCATACAAGACAGTTGTATGCGCGGGAATATTGTCTTGAGACTATGAATCTTATTGCTGGGGGCTAGAAATGCCATCAAAACATGAATTATAGGAACTGGAAATTATTTTAACATTCATATTGGGCCTATCAAATGACATTCGCTTCATTGCGTGCAAGTCGTCACCGGAATTATGATATACTGTAATATAATAAGTTATGTTGTCGCAGTCTGATATCCATATTAACCGAATTGTCCGTGTCGAGTAATGAATCGCACAAACCTCGCATACCCAGTTATTAATACAATCCAACGCAGGGACGTAGCCAGGATTTTGAAAGGGGGGGGGGGAGCCGTTATGCGAATTACGTATGACCCCGGCGGGGTCAATCCCCCTGTGAAGTAGCGCACTCCGAACGTTCTTAGGACTGTTTGAGAGGATAAAGTGAAAATTGCAATAGACGCATTACAAATAAGCGCAAAGATAATTATATAATAAATCAACAGTGGCAGATCCAGGAATTCGAAAGAGAGGTGAACCAGGGAGGGACTTTCACAGACCGAGGAACCTGTCTCTTATACACATCTAGATGTATGTGAATTTATTTTTCCATTTTTTCCTTAAAAAAATAAAAACAGTGGGGGGGGGGGGGCTTGAATCCACCTCTGCTCAAAACATTATTTATCCAGAATAGTCATAATCACGAAAAATGTACATGAAAAACCAGATCACATCCTAAAAACAAACAGCAGTCACTAAGACATACGTCAGGATCCGACGACTTGATGGAGTTTAATGTCATACCCAGGGAAGGACACAGGTCTGTTTTGAAAGGTGGAGGGGGAGGGCATTTTGTGAGTCGACACCCACCTCAGTCCCACAATGGTTGGAGCTGAGGTGAGACAATTTGAGGAAATAGTATCTCTAGATGGCCAGAAATGACACTTTTAGTAAAATTCATCATCATCACATCACCATTAGTCAAAATGAAGCGCCAACAAAAATTCTCATGATCTTTTATCATGGATTTTGACAATCATAAAACAAAGCTTCAAAGCATTGTCTTTGAGTATGTACTTTACATAGGCCTACTTCAAAAACGTGATTTCACAACCACCTCAGCCCCAGCCATGGTGGGGCTGAGGTGAGAAAATTTGAGGAAATAGTACCTCTCGAGATGGCCGGAAATGACACTTTTATATAGTAAAATTCATCATCATCACCTTACCATTATAGTCAAAATAAAACGCCAACAAATTTCTCATGATCTTTTATCAGGGATCTACTTAATATCCTTAACTTAGGCCTAATTATAGCTTACTAAGCTTTAACTATATATATTATGATCAACAAATCACAACTTTTTAACGCATTTAGCACAATTTTCTTCACTTTTTATTGTTATGAATATTAATATCAATTACTATCGTCATCATCATCATTGTTATTATTTTTATCAATATTAGTAGTAGTATTATTAAACAAACATTTAAAGAAACTTGCAAAAGGATAAAAACGAAATTGAACCACAGTATCGCATTTCTATCTTAAAAGACCTGGTCTAAAATTTATGGATTTAAGATTTTTTTAAATCACGCTTAGGCTTATGTGTTCTATTAGGCCTATGTATAACGTGTACTGATGCATATTTACATGTTTAGAAGTATTCATTTTGAGTGATCCCAGGAAAGAATTTGTATTAGCTGAAGAATAAGCTTTAAAATTTTAACACTGTGTAAAAAGGGGGGGGGGGAGCCGCGGCTCCCACGGCTCCCCCCTGGATACGTCCCTGATCCAACGGGGCTGAGCGAATACTTCTTCGTTCTCTAAAGCCTCTTCATGATGCCTGCAACGCCGCACCGTCCGCTGACTCTTAGCGGATCGTCATTAAAAGCAGGGGAGGCGCTAGCAGGGGCCCAAGGGGAAATTACCCCTCGTCGGGGACTTCTGGACCACCCGTTTTGACCCCCCATGTTGAGGAATTTTGTCGTCGGAAAAAAATCAACTATTTAGCGCCGAAAAAATTCAAGCATGCCTAAGCTGTCAAATATTATGGATTAAAAACTGTTTAATGCGAGCAGTGCTACCGTATGTGCAAGATGTTGCACACTATTGCGATCGTATGGATTGCAGTGGTGGCACCAGCTCTTCCCCGACAGGGAGATGGTACTTCCGAGAGCGGGTTAATATCCCCGGGAGGGGGACTAGTAGGGGTAGTCTTAACTTACTTTCAAATTATCATTTTTTAATAAAGAATCCCATATTAGCAAAAAATGTTATTAATTCCCC